AGTTGTCCCGAGATGTTGTGGACCAGTAAGGGGAGGACTGGCGGGATGCCTGGGATCAGTGGCATCAAAAGAGGGGTGCGACACGCATCCGGGTTACACCAAAATGATTGACAGTCAGTTTGGGGTCACCTCCTCTGAAAAGGTATGAACCGAGAGTCCTGCAGTTGCTCGAGGGAGAGGAGGGGACCCGGTGGCATACCTTATCCCGCCGATTGAACGTCTTCACCTCTCTTGGTGATGGACGCTGGCAGGTAACAGCGGTACAGCATGTGACGTCATAATGTGCATACGTGATTACGTCACTGCGGGGTGTCACCCTGTACCCACACTGGGTGTCGCCTGTGCCTGGGATTATCCGTTCTCACATCTAATCCCAGCCAGGGACAGACTGAAAGTTCCAATGACTTCAGAAGAGTGATGTACCTAGTCTTCCATGAACATGTCTCTTCCATTGTATAAAGCTACCTTTGCTCGTAGACAGCAGCCTGGGAAGTTCGGTGATATGGGACTGTTGGCTAAACTTGCTGGACTGTAATGTATGACACGGTTATCATTGGTTGGTGGAGGTCGGGTTGGGATTCTTGTTCAATATTTTGCTTGTTTCTATCTGTTCTGTGCAACTAATTTTCTGCCCCTATATTAGGTGATTCTTTATGTTGTTGTTTATTTTTTATTGTGTGACAAAACTTAATAAACAGAATTTCTAAAAAAAATAAAATAATTGTAGGCCATTTTGTTTTTGAACCTGGAAGCCCAATCCAGATCAGATGGCCCTCCTGCAATGCAGGGACAACCAAATTGCCTGAAGGTCCAGAATGTTGATCAGAAAACAAGATTCTTCCAACATTCAAGTTCCCTGCACTGGCTTTGTGTTTAGGACTACTCCCTAAGCTGACATCCTTAATGAGGATCTCTCAAAAGACAGATTCCTGAGCCTTCAGGCCAGGACAACCTGGTCCTTGGTGCTGGACAAATCGCTCTGTCCAAGGACTGGCCTTATCAGAGTACATACTGTTGTGCCGCATGGGTCTGGAGTAAACTGGGCAAATGGGCTGAAGGTGGCTACCATCAGTCCCTGGACTCACACAGAATCAAAAAGTCTTCTGTGAGTCTGGGTGCAGAGGGGTAGAAGTTGCTCCTGAGTGAAAAAAAACTCTGGCTTGAGCTGTGTTGAGGACTAGAGCTAGATATTACCATGCAGCAGGGTCTGGGCTAGGTTGTTCACAAGACCTCATGCAGACTGTTGCCTAGACATCCCACAATGGGAATACCGAGGCCACCTAGACATCCCACAATGGGAATACCGAGGCCACCTAGACATCCCACAATGGGAATACCGAGGCCACCTAGACATCCCACAATGGGAATACCGAGGCCACCTAGATATCCCACAATGGGAATACCGAGGCCACCTAGATATCCCACAAGGGGAATGCCCAGAGAGCACAGTAACGCCAGAACTTTGGTGTACAACCAGGATTCAGAAGATAGGCCAAATGGCAGGGCCACAAACTGAAAGTATAGAGAGACCACAGCAAAGAAGATTTGCTGCTGTGCTGGAAAGATGGGCACATGTAGATACAGATACTTGATGTTGAGATGCCAGAACATCTCCCTAGTGGAGGTAGAAGATCTCCCTAGTGGAGGTAGACTATGACAGACCTGGGGGACTCCATGCACATTTCTGGGCCTGACTGAAGACACTTTAAATCCAGGATAGGGTGAATGCCTCCTTAAGGTTTAGGAACTGTGAACAGGGTGGAGCATGACCATTGAAATGGTTTTGTGGCAGGGACTGGGCGATGACACCCTGTTGCAGTAGACCCACTATGGCTGTATGGAGGTCTGCGATGATTCTGTGCAGCAACACAGGAAATTTGGAAGTGATAAACGGGGAGGTGGCTGGGAGCAGAAATCTGGCTTGTAGCCCCAAGCCTCCAACATGCAGGCTGTATAGGCTTCCGCAAAGGCTTACCTGATGTACATGACCCTCATGTGTAAGAAAACAGAAAATTTGCATTCCAAGATATGTGGCCGGTCTGCAGGTCAGATTTGGGTCAGGGCTTGGAGTTTAAAGCTGTGGAGAAATGAAATTAACTTTTCTTGACTTACAGACAAGGGATTAGCTGTCCCACACTGATATTTCTTCGGCTGAGGAACAGGAATGCACTTGGCCCCTGTGGTATCCTGGATAATGGAATCCTGAAGAGGCGTTGTCCCTCGAAGGTCATGTGGAACAAGCATTTCTAAGACACAGAGCTCAAAGTCCAACACTTTAGCAAAAGTATACCGCCAGGAGACTCAGGCAGGAACTGAGACAGGAAACTTCAAACACTCTACAGTCTACACTGTAGCTCAGAGCAACAGGCATATGCTCTATATGCACCATGATCAACAGCCATAGTGATCACATCCCTTCTAATAGCCTTCAGCCAGTCAGTGAGGGTCTGACAGAGCAAGGTCACAGCAAAAATATTGCACAGCAGGACCTGTCAGAGAGCACATGGCCCCGGAGAGGCCTCCAGCTGTTGGGTCCTTAAAAGACTGGTGCATCCACCACCAGAAAGGTGAATGCTTTTTTAAGATGGGACACTGCCAGAAACACAGAGGGGCAGACCATTTTTCAACAAAGGCGCCCTCAAACAGATTTAAGGCTGATAAAAGCTCAGGAGGTGCAAACATTTTGTCAGGATGTTTCCAGTCTCAATAGCAGACTGGGAACAGCAGGTATACCAGAAAGGTCTTGTCGGTCTCAAGAGCCCTATAGGATCCTCGACTAGGTCAGTGCATTTAGAAGTGACAGGCTTATCCTGTAGCTTCAAGGTGGTGCATACCGCATCATAAAGAGCTCAAATGGTCTCCTTTAGTTCAGAAGCAATGGCAGAAGACTAGGACTCTTCAGAGGCAGCTTCCTGTGCTAAGGCCTGGAGAAACTCAGTGTACAGTCCTGGCCAAAAGTTTTGAGAATGACACAAATATTAAATTTTCACAAAGTCTGCTGCTTCAGTGTTTTAAGATCTTCTTGTCAGATGTTACTCTGGTATACTGAAGTATAATTATAAGCATTTCATAAGTGTCAAAGGCTTTTATTGACAATGACATTAAGTTTATGCAAAGTCAATATTTGCAGTGTTGACCCTTCTTATTCAAGACCTCAGCAATTCGCCCTGGCATTCTGTCAATCAACTTCTAGGCCACATCCTGACTGATGGCAGCCCATTCTTGCATAACCAATGCATGGAGTTTGTCAGAATTTGTGGGGTTTTTTTGTTCACCCGCCTCTTAAGGATTGATCACAAGTTCTCAATGGGATTACGGTGTGGGGAGTTTCCTGGCCATAGACCCAAAAATTTTATGTTTTGTTCCCCAAGCCACTTAGTTATCACTTTCACCGAACTGTTCTTGAATGGTTGGGAGAAGTTGCTCTTGGAGGATGTTTTTGTACAATGCTTTATTCATGGCTGTGTTCTTGGGCAAAATTGTGAGTGAGCCCACTCCCTTGGCGGAGAAGCAACCCCACACATGAATGGTCTCAGGATGCTTAACTGTTGGTATGACACAGGACTGATGTAAGCGCTCACCTTTTCTTCTCCGGATGCCTCAATCGGAAAGGGGATTCATCAGAGAAAATGACTTTACCTCGGTCCTCAGCAGTCCAATCCCTGTACCTTTTGCAGAATATTAGTCTGTCGCTGATATTTTTCCTGGAGAGAAGTGGCTTCTTTGCTGCCCCTCTTGACACCAGGCCATCCTCCAAAAGTCTTTGCCTCACTGTGCGTGCAGATGCACTCACCCCAGCCTGCTGCCATTCCTAAGCAAGCTCTGCACTGGTGGCCCCCCGATCCCGCAGCTGAATCAACTTTAGGAGATGGTCCTGGACTTTCTTGGGCACCCTCAAGCTTTCTTCACAACAATTAAACCTCTCTCCTTGAAGTTCTTGATGATCCGATAAATGACTGATTTAGGAGCAATCTTAGTAGCAGCAATATTCTTGTAATTTTTTCATCATAATTTTTTGTGCAAAGCAATGACGACTGCACGTCACATGTTTCCTTGCAGGTAACCATGGGTAACGGAGGAAGAACAATGATTTCAAGCACCACCCTCCATTTAAAGCTTCCAGTCTGTTATTCTAACTCAATCAGCATGAGAGTGGTCTCCAGCTTAGTCCTTGTCAACACAAGTGTTAATGAGAGAATCACTGACATGATGGCAGCTGGTTCTTTTGTGGCCGAAATGCAGTGGAAATGTTTTTGGGGGGATTAAGTTCATTTTAATGGCAAAGAGGGACTTTGCAATTGATCTCATCACTTGTGGGGTAGAATGTCTCCAAAAGGGCAGCAATTAAAGCCTAAAAAAGGCTGTAACCCGTAATGTGTGTCCTCCTGTAGGTGGCAGGATACACCATGTGTATTGAATATCCGGTGCTGTGTCCTTCATTGAGCTTTAAATGACCCAGACTCCCATCATCCCTGAAATCCAGCGGCTACTTCAGCAAACCTGCTTTCTAGTTTACTTTTCTGCATCGGACTGTTCTTCCTAGCGGTCTCTCATATATTACTTTATTGTTACGTCCTTTGTACAGTGCTGCAGAGGACGGCGGCGCTCTACCAACACACAAGTTAAAAAAAAACAAAATGATGACAGAACATGCAGCCGTGTTTTCATTTTATATATACAAGACACATTTATCCATTAAATTCAGAACACAGTACAAAAAAAAAAAAAAAAAAAAAAAAAAAAAAAAAAAAAAGAAAAAAAAAATAGAAACCACGTCAAGTGATGATTCATACAATGCAGAATTCATAGCCATCCTTCCCAAAGGTAGACGTGGGCGGTGACACGCCTCTCTGCCCCTTTCTCACCTCTGCAAAAAGAGGTTAAAAAGGGGGGAAAAAAAATACCAAAAAAAAAAAAGTAAGACCAGCCCTCCCCTAAAATAGCAAACATTTCATAATTGCAGAAAAGGGGAGAAAAAAAATTCTATAATTGCTTCGATCTTTTGCAATGTCCTTTGTGGGAGACGGCGGCGGTTAGTTGGACCCCCAGCTGTAGCTGCTGTATGCCGACTTGCTTGCCTGAGATTTCTGCGGCATGGAGGCTCCTTGGGTGCGCTGTCCCGAGGCGGTCTGTAGAAAGAGGAGGGAGGGGAAAAAAAAAAGCAATGTAAAATCGTATCACGGGGCGCAGGTCGTTCCAGTGGTGACAAGTACAAGCAGAACCTGCTGCTCTCACACAGTACAACTTAAAGTGGACTTGTCACCAGATACAGGTTTCCATGTTAGGTGCAGCATGCTAAGCAACACTTCTACTGTACTACTTCTCAGAGGTCCCCTATACTACTTCACAGAGGCCCCCCTGTATTACTTCACAGAGGCCCCCCTGTATTACTTCACAGAGGCCCCCCTGTATTACTTCACAGAGGCCCCCCTGTATTACTTCACAGAGGTCCCCCAGACCAGGCCATCAGCCGCATTTCCCTACAGGAATGCACCATCTTTGTTCAGGCATTATCCAGGGTCACAGTCTACTTCCTGGACAGAGATGCTGTCATCTTTTACATTACCTTTGACTACGCTCCCATAGCTTGTTCTGCGTGCACTTGTCAGCACAGCACCACCATAACCACACAAGTGCAAAACCACAACCGATGATAAACCCAACCAATTATTACCGAGAGAACAGTGTATTGGGTACAGTGGGCACGGTTCACACTTCATAAGAATGCAGGAACCAATGAAACTTGGCATCATGCACCAGACGCCTCCCCCATCCGATGGCAGTGATTGTGAATGGATGGGTGCACGGCGGGAGTGTCTGTCTGTGCACGGGAGCTTGTCACCAGGTGATGGGGTGCAGGAGGTGCAGAGTCTAAAGACAATTACCTGGTCATTGTTCAGCAGCTGGCAACACAAAATCTGCAAACATGGCAGCTGGTGCAAAGGTGGGCGGATATGTAAAATAAAGGGATAGACTTTTAGCATGAGAAGGTGTGGGGGCAGTCGGTGCCAACCCCAACGCTAATGGAGGGGGGACAAGGCAACCTGACCAGCTTCAATACCCTGTAGTGGTAGAACAGTCTTTAATGCTACAGCCTGTCAGTGATATCTCCAGGGGAGTCCCAAAGCCGGGCGTCACCCGGAGCAGATACCAGGCGACACCCCACTGTGACGTCATCGCGCATGCGCGGCCATCTTGCTGATGGACGCAGGCAGAGAGAGGAGAGGTCAGTCACCCAGCAGGATAAGGTATACCGCCAGGTCCCCTCCTCTCTCCCAAAATTGTCGGGCTCTCAGTCTATGACTGAGTGCCCGACTTTTCAGAGGGGGTGACACCAAAATGACTGTCATTTTGGTGCCACCCGGGTGCGGGCCCACCCCTCTTGTGACGCCACAGGATATCGCTACCATGTTTTGTTTTTCCGAAGGGCTTGGGTATAAAACGGATTGCTCTACTCAACAGGAGATTGCAGCAGTGATGTATATAGCGCTATGACTGTCTCACTTTGCCCCCCTAAAGATCTGATGTATGACAATGATCAACGAGATCTCCCCCTGGCTTCATTCATAAATCCCTAGTTTATAAACAAAGCCATGTGATCAGAGTGTCACCACTCAAATTGCAATTGCATGGCACTGTTAATAAATTGTTGGGGTCAGTGGTTCTCAATATCTATAGTCAGGCTGCCAGCTATCAAGGGCCAACTTAGGGTACAAGAATAGGTCCAGGATAGTTAAATGGAGCTTCCCTAACCCACATGAGCACCATCAAAAACCACCTTTAAAAACACTGCAATGTCATAACATTCCTACTGAATGTCTAACTTACAAGAGCTGACAACACTCTCTCTTAAAATTGCTTATGCCTAATCACTACCTTCCCTTGGGCACCCGATACATAGATCTCCCCAGGTGTGTATGCAGTGACTAGTTTTTGTGCTAATCGGTCACATGGAGCCAAACACTATACTACAGAGATCTCCGCCAACAACATGGCAACCCATGTCCCCCTGGGGCTCCACTGTACAGAACTGAAGACCGTCCTAGTTTTTGTGCTAATCTGTCACACGGAAGCAAACACTAGACTACAGAGATCTCCCCAACAATATGGCAACCCATGTCCCCCTGGGGCTCCACTGTACAGAACTGAAGAGGCCCACAACAGTGAAGTATGCTACATATATAGGGCTCGATTCCTACATGATGGATGAACAGCCACATTGACTGGAGGGGTTACCTGGGCATCTTGCTGGAGGTGATGGTGGAGGATCTGGGAGTGAGGTTGCTGATGTGGTGCCAGGATGTGCATAAATGGAGCGGGAGGGTAGGCAGCAGCTGCAGCTGGGTTGATCGGACCTGCGCTTGCCAGCGCCGAGGGCAGATTGAAGGAAGTAGCCGGTGTGCCGGTGTGGAAACCCTGCTTCTCAAACGATTGCTGAAAGACGGCAGACACGTTATGATGGATATGCACAAAATTAGGGGAAAAAATAAAATAAAAAGATGCTTGGGTGGGCTGCTAACAGACTAAATTCCAGAATGCCCCACAAGTATATCCTCATCAATGCCATGATGCCAAACACAGGCTGCAGCATCTGTAGCGGCGACAGCTAGCAGCATCCCATATATTTTGTACAAACATACAAAACGTCACATAGATGTCACATGACTACGTACCTGCGTCTTGGAATAGACAGAGCCAGATATATCAGGGACACCTGTATTACTGGAGGTAACAGACACACCTACAAAGAGACCACATACACATGGTTTGTAGTTAGGATGTAATTATGCCAGTAATACAGGGCAAGGTAATAGATTCCAGCACATTGGGGTATATGGTATACAAGTTACGGTGGTGTCCTGCCTACGTTAGCTGTGCAGTGCTCCTGAATAAAGCGCTACGTGGTCACACCAATAAAATGGATTTCCTCTGGTCTGCTTCAGCAAATCCACAGTACTTCCATTTATCAAGCATGTGAAGCGTGGACTTTGAAAGGGCCCATCAGTCTGTGAGCAGAGCACACACACCAAACTCCAAAAATACTAGGAGTAGGTAATGAGTAGATAACGATGGGTGGTGATGGGTAAGGGCAGAATGGGAAGCAAATAAAGGACAGAGAAGCTGGAAAATGACAGACATACAGCAGCAAGGAAGCTGCAAAATCAAAGCAAAACGAACACAATCAGGTTAATGGTGGCCATGAAAGTAGTAAAAATGATTGCGTGAACAATTACAATCCATTTGATTGAGAAATGATTTGTAGCTAATGCACAAGACCGTATACATGATGTGGGAAGTGGATAAAACAGAGATAAGCCATCACTCCCCAAGGCTGTCTAATGGCTCATCTCCCTACAGACAGAGCTGCACATGTGCAATTAGGATAACAATGAAGCAGATATCTGACTATTCACTACCAAATGATCAGATTCCACCATTTATGGCAACATGTGGAGCAGGCAGGAAGTAGCCTCGGGGCAGGATACAGGACCAGGGTTGGTTCAGGAGCTGCAGCACAGACGTAGGACTGGGATGAGTAAAGGAGCAGGGCAGGCCAGACCAGGAAAGAGGACTGTGGCAGGTGAGGGAGCAGCAGCAGGACACGGGTGCATGAAAAGCCAGGAAGCAGCAGGATGAGGATGTAGAACAAGAAGGTGGAGAGGAGGAGGTAGCACAAGCAAAGCTAAAAGGAAGAGGGAAAAAATAAATTGCTGGGAGGTCAGAATTTTTATCAAAAGAGATATGCAAAGTTTCTTTTGCCCAAAAAACAAATTCTTCCACTCCCCCAGCAACTTTTTATTTTTGTGTACGATGCATTGGCTGTACAGTGTACACATCCAGCCCATTCAAGGCATCTCTAAGATGCTGTGAGTCAGCCGAGACCTGTAGAGGGTGTAACTCCTACGCACAAATTACATTGTTAGTTGCCACCATATGGCCGAAGGGGACTTTTAAGAACCAGGAAGTGGAGATGGCGCTGAGGGCCGAAGATCAATCCAACAACAAAGGGTGCACTTCTAAGCAGTGATGTACAGATACTAGTATCGGTGCAGATACCGAGTATTTGGGCGAGTACTCGTACTCACCCAAATGTTCTGATACCGGAACTTCCGGTCAGAGGGAGATATCCCTCTGACCGCAAGTGCCTAGGGAGCATGGAGCCAGCTTCCCAGCCAATCATGAAGCTGGGTAGCACGTCATGACCTACCTCCCGGATTGACTAGGAAGCCGGCTTCACTTGTTGCTAGGCAGCCTGGCTTCCTAACCAATCAGGAAGCCGGGCCGCACGTAATGACCCGCCTTCCTGATTGGTAAAGCAGTCAGACTGCCTAGGAACAAGTGAAGCTGGCTTCCTAGCCAATTAGGAGGCAGGTCATGATATGCCGCCTGGCTTCCTGATTGGCTAGGAAGCCAGCTTCACTTGTTGGTAAGCAGCCTGGGTTCCTAACCAATCAGGAAGCCGGGCGGCACTTCATGACTCGCGTCTCGGCTTCCTGATTAATCAGGATGCCAGGCAGCCTCTGCAAATGAAGCTGGTGTTCTTTCACAACAACACCGGCTTCACAGACAATCAGGAAGCAGGGAGACGGGTCATGTTCCGCCTCCCGACTTCCTGATAATCTGGTCACCGGTACTTGGTATTGGCAAGTCCTGAGAAAAAAATATCAGTACTTGTACTTAATACTGAAAAAACGGTATCTATGCATCCATACTTCTAAGATGCATACTTGCACATTAGGACAAAAACAAAAAAAAATTCAAAGTGGTTTACTTCCGTTTTAACCAAGGGAAGATAGGAAATATCACTTAAAAGGGGCCGATAAAAGTCAAGGAACAGCAGGACAGCTCACTAGAGCAGCAGGAAGGGGAAGCAGGAGGAGCGAAGGAATACAAAGAATAGGAGAATCACAGAAGGGTAGATAGGGGAGATGGTAGGACAGGCCGAAGGGGAGATGGTAGGACAAAGCAGAAGGGGAGATGGTAGGACAAAGCAGAAGGGGAGATGGTAGGACAAAGCAGAAGGGGAGATGGTAGGACAAAGCAGAAGGGGAGATGGTAGGACAAAGCAGAAGGGGAGATGGTAGGACAAAGCAGAAGGGGAGATGGTAGGACAAAGCAGAAGGGGAGATGGTAGGACAAAGCAGAAGGGGAGATGGTAGGACAAAGCAGAAGGGGAGATGGTAGGACAAAGCAGAAGGGGAGATGGTAGGACAAAGCAGAAGGGGAGATGGTAGGACAAAGCAGAAGGGGAGATGGTAGGACAAAGCAGAAGGGGAGATGGTAGGACAGGCAGAAGGGGAGATGGTAGGACAAGGCAGAAGGGGAGATGGTAGGACAAAGCAGAAGGGGAGATGGTAGGACAAAGCAGAAGGGGAGATGGTAGCATGGCAGGTTGGGAGAAGGAGAGGGATAAGGTCATGCAATAAAGATGGAGGAAGGCAGGGGACATGAGGAGGTACCTGGCTACAGGATTAAACAAAGCTGGAAGCAGAGAGAGCACTTACCAGCGCCTGGTCCATTGATGCAAGCAGCAGCAGGTTTGCTCTGAGCAGCAGAAGCCCCACTAAATGCACCCTTACAGAAATCCCCCACGATGGACACCTGGCCCAAGTCCTCAAAGCCTGCGAACAGACACAGCCCTCAGCAAGAGAAGGCAGCCCCCATCCATCCACCAACACAGACACTGGGGGAGCACACCATCATCATACAGATAGACCTGTAGAACTCATTGCATCCAAGTGACAAGCACGCACAACATACGAAAGCACGGACCACCCTCTCACTGCTTCCAACACAACCAATCCAATCAGCGCAACTCACTTGACATGAATTTACAGACATTATTCATCTTTCAGACGGGCCCCGACTTAGGACCCCGCACAGCTAGTCACCTGCTGCTGCTCGGACCACCAGCGGGGGGCAGACGCTCTGCTGCAGGGAAGAGTTAGGAAAGGCAGGGGAAAAAAAAAAAAAAGAGCAGGGAGGAAGGGCAAAGGAGGCATTCACAGCTATAGGGGGTGAAAACCGGTCAAGTCACTGCTAGGAACCAACAAAAGTGACAAAGTCTACGTCATTCGTCTTACCGGTGTTGTAAGCGTGAGAGCCGTAGCTGGCCGCTTGTTGGAAGGCGCCAGCTGAAGTATTGACCCCAACATTCACCGCGTGTTGCTTTGATGTAGTAGGCGCCACCTGCAGGAAAGAAGGGGACAGAGGGACTCATGAGGCCAGGGCTCTCTAGCTCCGTCCTAGGGGCAAGGCACAGGCAAGGGCAGGCAGTGTACAAAACTTCTATCACTTTGCAGCCAGGCGAGACTTTTTTCGACTCTATCCTGCCCTAAAACACAGCTCCACAGAAAACATACACAGCAATTAAATCCACCCCGCCTTTAGCACATACGGAGCACAAATTCCCCTCCCACAATCCTTAGCTTGCCAAGAACAAGTTTTAGTCAGCTGCCATTTCATAAACACGAGCCGATGTTGGGTTATCTCTGAAGCCAAAAACGAGAGCGGGTTCGGCATGCCCCGTTCGTGACGAATTAGATTTCCGGTAAGCTGCAGCCATGTTGAGTTGTTGGGCAAGCTTAAAAAAATGGCGCACTGCTGCAAGGAGAGACACAAAGCACAGGCAGGGCCCTACACCAGGACGGCAGAGGATGGCCAGACAACCCCCGTGAGAGCCTCACGCCAAAAGAACCAGTGCCAGACACACAGAAGGCAGGCTTATTTCACACCTCGTACAGAGGATTCTGGGACGTACCTGGGATGGATCGCCAACACACTGGAAAGTCTCAGTTGCCAGCACGCCCGCAGGGTACCTCTAGTGGTATACAGGGAGGTTAAAAGGTAAGTCTCAATGCCTCAATTTTAGCGCCCCTTAGTTTCAGAGACTGCGAAAAAGTGTCTCATAGAGTTACCCAACAAATGGCGCAAGGCTATATAACAAAATAACCCAAATTTTCCCCTAACAATCCAGTAATGGTTTCACGCTTACATTCTATAAACATATCGGTAAAAACTATTTTAAAAAATGGTAACTTAGTAAGATTTCAACTTTGTTTTTTATTAGTATTCCAGTCCGAGAGTAACAAACTACGGAACCAAAACAGGGCCCACAGTTCCCCAACAGTAATAAGGAGGGCGGCCAATCTGACAGTTTATTGAAAACACTTTTATTAAGTACGGAGATGAGATATTTACAAATCAGGAAAAAAAAATTGATTTTTTTTTTTTACCAAAACAGGTTACAGCACAAAAGAACACAAAAGGTCAATGTCAGAATTTCAGGTGCAAAAAAAAAGCATATGGGTAATACGTGATTACATTACAAACAGTCTGCAATGGTCGGACGCGGCCCAGGTGGTTTAAAGGTTTAGGTTTTTAAAGGGAATCTTTCAAAAACATGCAAGTCTGTCCGTAGTGGGCCAGTTGGCAGGTCTTCTAAAAGGAAAGATGGTTATGACGGTCACAAGGTGGTTGGTTAGGTGTCTCAAATGCTCCAGTTAACTTCAGATGTCGATGAGCAGTAGTTAAGATGGGGTTGGACCAAATTTCAGAAGCCAGCTTGCCAGTGTTCCTAAAAGTAAGCCTGCACATGCTCCCTTCAGGATACAGACCATATTTGATGCGTCAATAAATAGACAACATTGATTACTTGGAATGCCAGTGTCTATGTTGTTCTGCATATGCTCCCTGGCTCCTTAACCTCTTCTTGCTAGTGAGAAGGCCCTTTAAAGATCGCAATCATGTGATCATTGGCACAGTGATTGGGAGTCTGTCCTAGCTGTCTGTGATAGTGTTGGGGGCCCAGACTATGCTCAGAGCACAATACAATGACACCAGGCAAATGCAAATTTGTGGCAGCATGGCATAAGGCCCACCGGCGGCCATGCTACTACATATATGCGTACAGCCGGTGTTAAGGTAGGAGCTGCATGACAATGCGAGGTCCACTTGTCAGCTAGGCCCCTTCCCGCTTAGTTAAATAACCACTACATTAAAGCAAAGAGAAAACAAAACATTGGAATATAGATATTAAAAATCCCTCACCTTCTGGTGCACTTAGCCAGGTGAGGGCGATGTCACTGAGCCTTTTCCAGGATCCTAGAAAAGTTGGGGATCCCAAATCTGGAGAGAACACGCTCCTTCAAATGGACAGGGGTTTTGCAAGAAGGCCCAATGACTCAATCTCACGCAGACTAGCGCAGCAGAAGTGGTGGTGTAAGGCGAGTATTCTTTTTTTTATTTATGTAGGTGTATGGGGAGACGGGGGCTGACTAAGAAGCTTTCATGATTAAATTCAGTCTTCCCTTCAGTCTTACACAGTTGTATAGGCTCCTCACCTGGACCAAAATTACTTACTCTGATTCCCCCACCTCATTTCCTGGCTGGAGGATGTTAAGCATCATCCAGCCTGACTGTCCCTGGCCTACCCCTTTCAAATCTTAAAGGTTCAGCATCACAAGTGTTACCTAGAGGGGTCTGCATGCAAATACAATTTTGCCTCAGAACGCCCTTTCGCAGATTGACATCTGCCCATCAACGCATTGTGATATGTACATAACTGGTTAACATAGAACCAGCTTTATAAAAGAATCATTACACATGATGTTACAAATCTTTGATCTCAACATTACCTTTAAAACCTCTCACTTCCCTGCAACACCTCAACTAGAGCCTGACCACCTATGTTCCAACAAAGGCATATGTCCGATATGAATGACGTTGGCACAACAGTGGCGTCACAAGCATAAAGGTCATTCGGGTCATCACTGTATGAAAACCAGAATGACAGCCTGACCCAAGCTGCTTCGGCAAAAAGGTTGGCTAAGAACGAGATAAAACAGCTGGGTATGAAAATTTAGTTTTGGGGGCCACGAGATGTTAACATTTGCCTGGGGTAGGTTCTACAGAAATTTTTGCACAATTAAGAACGCCAAAAATGCGCCGCTTGTCCCTAAAATCGATATGTAAATCATTTGTGTGTGCTGAACTAGGCTTGGCAGTAGCAACCAGCCATGTTAGTCACACATATATACAATTTGCCTTTAACATTCAGTGAAGTACTGAACTGCATGGGGGCCAGAACATAGCAAAGGTGTGAATGAAAAATAAAAAAGCACGTAGAGATGCCCTTTAAAAACCTAGACCTGATTGGTAAAATGAACAGTCCCAGCTGTGTTATCAGTGTTGAAGGGAGATGCCTAGTCTACATTGCCCTGCTGGTGGTAAAACACATGCAGATCAGAAGTTGGGGAGGGTGTCAGGTTTAAATTGTTCTTTTAGAACTTATGCCATCCTGTCGTAGGGTCACGTGCAGGGCCTGGCCGAGGGGTAGGCCGAAGAAGTGGCTGTCTTGGGCACATCAACAGGAGTGGTGCACAAAAAGGGCAGGACCGTCAAACTATGCTGCAGTAGTTCACAGTTCATATGTAAAGAACACTGGTCATGTGACCCCCTTAACATGCATCCTCACTACCGCATGGCGTGCGCTAATCCAACAGTGCAAGGTGAGGAGGAAAAGTCAAAACTTTAGATTGTCACAGGGGTTGTCTGTTTTAAGGTGCTATTTCATTTTTTTGTCCAGTGCTGCCCACCTCCCCCAGAGCAAACGTTTAACAGGGTTTTAGGGTGTCAACGGAAGTGCGCACTCACTGGGAACACAGGGCCATACTGGAAAGTGCTGGGTAGACCCGGTACCCCGGTGTAGTAGGGAAGACTGGTATAGCTGTATCCTGGAGGCAGGGCAGGGTTAAGGAATGTTTGCTGTGTGGCATGGTGGCCTTGAGTCTGGCTCTGCTGTGGCTGTGCCAGCGTTGTCGCCGGAGCAGGGGAGGAGGCGTCTCCACGGCCGAATTTGGCGAGGTCACCTGCGGGGGGAAAAAAGAAGAGGGGTCTTTAAGATCAGTGAGCCGAAACATTAATTGGAAAGAAACACATTGGGGGGGGGGGGGGGGTTTATCAAAACTGGAGCAGACAGAACCTGGAGCAGTAGCCCAATCAGCACCTCTTCAGCTTGCTCAGGTAAGATTTGAGAATGAGACTGAGAAGCTGATTGGTTGCAGTGCAAATCTGCTCCAGTTTTTGATAAAATCCCCCCAATGTGATTAACGCTAACAATAAAATATGCAAACAGACAAGACCCCTTTATACTAAAAAGTTACACACCGCCATTCCTTAGAGCATGTGACCAACTTCCCTGTGACAGTACTTGGGTCTAGCAGCCAATCGCAACACCTGATTACCGTCACATGACTGGGTGAGTGACAACACCACTTCAAGTGGAGGAGGAGGAAGGAGCGCTGGTAAGGAGAGTATAGGTGGGACAGGGGGGAAGCCCTTTGCACACTTTCACTTAGTCCATTATAGGTAAGGTGACCATGTCCCTTTAAGATAAGTGAAAACCCTATTTTGCTGAAAACCTAAAATCAGTCTATTGCATCCAAAACGGATCTCACACTGTTTAATAGGTGCTGTGAAGTTAATCCTTCTCCCAAGTTGTAATCTTTTAGGGGGCTTTAATGGTGTAACGCTGAGTTCTCAGCTCTGCGTACAATTATGAGGGGCTCCCACCAATTCTCCAACTTTAAAATTCCTGTAGGGTGGACTAACCCCTTTAAACAGAGCTCTTTGCGCAGATTCAAAAATCTACCATTTCACCTACCGGAGTACGGGTTACTGGTCAGGCTTGCATCTCTTCCAGTGAGAGGAGTGGTGGCCGTAGGGAACGGGATGCTGTAATAATCCTGTAACAGAGAAACATGTCAGGTCAGGTTACATGCCAAACATCCGCAGCTGGCTCATACGGGGCAGCAAAATAATGTGTCACCACTCACCAAGGGGAATCTTGTCTGTAACATCTGAAGATCGTCGTAACCATAGACCTGTGGCTGAAAAAAATACACGTCAAATGATTTGGCTGGACAAGGAACAGATATGTTTCATCTATTCTCCATTTCTGATGACACTTACAGGGTAGGCGTGTAACAGACCAGGAGCCATGATATATGGGTTCGGTAACAGCGGGGCGACACCAGGGGGGAGGTTGGGAGGTGCTTTACCTGAAAAAACAAAAAACAAAAAGAAAAAACAAGGTTTTAAAAAGCATTTCTCAAAATAGCAAAATAGAAAAAAGGTAGGTTCACATCTTTAGGATCTTTTCATCATTTTTATGGAACAGATGTCTAAAAAGGGCCAGACAGCTATTGGCTTTGCCTGAACAGCAATCTTTCTCTTGGCAGAGATCAGGTCACCTGACACATGCCCTTTCTAAATGGGAACAGATAGCTGCATAGCTCTAGTTTAGACACCTAGGTCCAGAAATTTTGCTGTATCGGCTGATTGACAACTTCTGGTGTCTTTTACAAACTCAAATACATGTACAGAGTTTATATATCCAGCAAGGGGCTCCAACCTACACTCTGGAACATTTACAAGCAACGCTTTGATGTGACACATGAGGCTGTGACAACACTATGACTTAATGCAGAGTGGAGCCTTTTGGCTTCTCATACCTGATGTGGTAGCAATGGAGTTCCGGGTGGAGGGGATGACTGTAGAAGTCGTGGCCAGGCCAAGCCCGAGGCTGTTGACATTGAGTGAGGAGATGGGCGCAGCGCTGGGGATGGGGATGGAGGCTGTGGAGAAGATGGCGACTGACGAGTGCAAACTGGTGTCACTCTCCACACTGGTATGCTGCATTGAATAGGGAGGAACAGAACACGGTTTAAAAGTCAACCTGGGGGGGTTGCACAGAGTGCCAGAAAGTGAGGGAAGGGAGGAGGAGAACAGAGCGAGAGAGGGAAGGGAGGAGGAGAACAGAGCGAGAGAGGGAAGGGAGGAGGAGAACAGAGCGAGAGAGGGAAGGGAAGAGGAGAACAGAGCGAGAGAGGGAAGGGAGGAGAACAGAGCGAGAGAGGGAAGGGAAGAGAACAGAGCGAGAGAGGGAAGGGAGGAGAACAGAGCGAGAGAGGAAGGGAGGAGAACAGAGCGAGAGAGGGAAGGGAAGAGAACAGAGCGAGAGAGGGAAGGGAAGAGAACAGAGCGAGAGAGGGAAGGGAGGAGGAAAGCTAGTGAGGGAAGGTGGGAGACAGCGTGAGAGAGAAGACACAGGGGAAAGAGAGCGAGAGAGTAAAGGCGAGAAAAAGAAGGATGAGGCATTAGGGGAAATACAGAGAAGGATGAAGGATTGAGAAGTGAGAAGGGCAGGGAGTGAGGACTATACTCACCAGGGGAATTGATGAGGAAGTTCTGACTGTGGAGGACACAGGCGTCTGGTGCTGAGAGGGTAAAGTACTGCAGGAGAGATCACATAACAGGTAAGTATGATCAAACAAGACCAGAAAATGTCTGCAGTTTCTGCTAGATGGTGCACCCTTACCTGCTCAGCTGCGTGGACGCAGGTGGATTCTGCAGCTCCTCATTGTGGCTCAGACCACTAAGCTGGGTGGAGTGGGATCCAGCCGTGATCAGTAAGGAAGATGAAGAGACGGGGTCACTAAGAGCGGAGATGCTGTGGGCAGATGATGAATCTGCTTTCACCGAGGGGGTTGTGGGCACTGTAAGACAAACAAAAATGTATGCACATTCTGACAGACCAACATACTTCCGCCGTGTATTCTCAGATCCCAGTGTTAAGGTGCCCATACACTTTAAAACCCTTGCAAGACTTTTGTCTTGCAAGAGTTGTAAACTAATTAAAAAACGTACGATCTGCCCATCTTGGACAGGCAGATCGTACTTGCGATCATCGCAAGCCCGCCCCCCTCCAATGACTGCAATGCTGAACAGGCAGTGTGCACGTGCGCACATCGGCCCGTTCGGCAGTGATCTCTCGATCATGTTAAAACCAGCCGAAAATCATACGATTCTCGGCTGGTTTTCCAACATGCTCGATATACAAAAGTCGTGCGACCGTACATTAGAAACGGTCGCACGCCTTCCATACACTGCACGATTCTCGTATGATTGTACGAGAATCGTGCAGTGTATGGGCATCTTTATTCCATGACAACCCTATTATTTTTTAACATGCAGAGGTGGAGGGAGATTGTTATCAGTTGACAAGCAAGCCTTTAAAAGGCCAAATTTCAATACAAAATATTTATTAGTGGACAAAAATACAAATTAGCGTCCCGCCCCGTCTCCCTGTTCCATGGCCCATTCTCCAGGAGGTGGCTAATGCACTCTGAAACGCACAAGGATTCTTCCTGGTGTTCTGCCCTAACAACACACACTTACTGCCCCCTGAACACAGATGCCCTTTATACAATCCTGACCACCAAGGTCCATCCTCAGCACGCCAAAAAAAAAAAGGCACACACATTAATGCCACTTAAACTGCATGATAGCTGGGCAACCATGGCTTCAAGGACCAAGCTCTCCTACTCATTGGCCTGATTGGCTCTCAGGTGCTTAAATTACAGAATGTGTCAGCGACCTGTCATCAGAAAACCAATCAGAAAACAGTTCAGACAAGGAGTTCCATTTATTGGCTGCAACGTATTGGAATGAACATGTACCAGTTTCAAGAGGCAAATGATAGTTATTTTGGTGTCACTCCTCCAATGGTGTCACCCGAGTGCAGGCCGCACCCCCCTTGTGACACCACTGAGTGGGAGGAAACCTCTCAGTTGTCTCCCCCATTGGATAATTTCCCCTCATCTCGTGTTCTAGTGACAATATTTTGGATTTATTGTCACCCTCTATCTTGGTGACACCAGAAGAGCCTCATCTCCCTTCTTGCTTCCTTTCCTTCCACCCGACATTCCCCCCAAGATAAAAAAGCAAACCTGTACAGATGTGCCAGAGTAAACCATTAGGCATAAAGGTCCGATGATCTTTTTGGCACTCTGGTTACTATAGCACACGCTGTCCCCCCTTTAAGACTATAGACAGTCAGAAAGGGTCTACTGGTGTGCGCGATGCCATTATATGAGATGTCAGGACTCCGAGGCGGCAGAAGATGTATGGGTAAAAGTGGAATGAGGCGTTGTCAAAGGACTGATCATAAGTCCAGATGAAGGCTTAAAAAGGAAGAGGCCATGCCCACGTTTGTCAAAGTTTTGCTTCCTTGATCACTTTGTCCCATATGCTAAACTATGATAATAAGAAAACATTTCGGCAGTCATGATGTCATCCCCCCTCAGACTGGCTTAGAGCACCTGCCCTCCCCCTCTCTCAGTCTGCAGGTCGATAGGCAGATGGTGGTAGGAAGCAGATATAAAGACAGATTAAAGGTTCTTATATAAGCCGATTTTAATTAATACATATTTGGCTCAGTTTTAACAAGCCAAAAGCTTTAAATATTTCAGCAACCTCATTCTCTGAATAAGGCAGAGAAACTCTCTTCTGGGGAATGTCTTTAAACTTACAAACACAACAAAAATATAAAGGCTCAATATTCCCTTTAAAAGCTGGTTCATTAAAATAACTTACTTTCTCCAGGCACAGAGGCCTGCATCGTGGGAGCTTGCAAGGAGCTGAAGCCATTCTAGAAGAAAAAAAGATGAACGTTAACATAAATACACCAGCATGGAACCCGTTCGTGGCCCGGTAAGGTCCCAGACAATATACCAGCATGGAACACCCAATGCATGGACCAGTGATTTCCCAGCGAGTATACCAGCATGGAACACCCAATGCATGAACCAGTGATTTCCCAGCCAGTATACCAGCATGGAACTCCATGGCATGTCCCAGTGAGGACCCAGTCAATATACCAGCATGGAACCCGTGCCAGGGCCAGCAAGGTCCCAGACAATGTACCAACATATAATTGGTGCATGGGCTGGTAAGGTCCCAGGTAGTTCCCACAAGCAGACGCACCTTGGATTGGCCATGTTCCTTCTGTGGGGACGAGGTCGAGGAAGAGATGGGATACCGTCGTGTTTGCGTAGACCTCTGCTCGTATAATGGCCCCTGAGAAGTGCCCTGTGAGGTATAGGTTGCGCTCTGGAGGCTACTAGCTTGAAATGCAGACTCCGGGCTCTGACTGCTGACTGCAGAGCTGGACGATTCACTGAGAGGACGAGAAGGGAGAAGTCAAAACCATTGAAACAGGAATAATGATACCAGCGATTGATTGTGTGCGCCCAGCAAAAAAGCCGCAGAAGTTTCTGGGGTGTCAATTGCAGGCGCTGTGTTACTGTGGCACAAACTGTCCCCCCTTTGTGGCTACAGACAAAGCCGGAAAGGGTCTACTGTTGTGCTACATAGAAATGCCATATATCAAAAAAGGAATTCCCTAGTTAGATCAAGACATTGCAAAGATTGCAGACAAACTATTAGGGATCCTCCCGTTTTATGTCCGAGGATACTGAGATAGGCCACTGCAGTGTGCATGCTGAAAGTGGCAAGTGGGTGGGTATGCCTTTTCTTCTTGATTAAAGCAAGTCTCAGTGTTGCAATCACATTGCATCCCTCTGGGTGTGCAGCACACTGTGCAAATTTGCTTGCAAGAGATGAAAAACTCCCAGCAAACTAATGACCGAATTCAGATAAACTGAAACCAAGTGACTGATGGCCTCCTCCAGTGGAGGTCCAGGTATCAAATTCGCTGAGTACTTCGGTCACACGCCCATAGCACAGAATCTTGAGAAAGCATTTTATGCACTAAAGAAATATTTCATGAGTGGCTGAGAGTATTTTATACACTCCACTTTACATACATACTTTACATACAGGTCCACTTTAAGACAGGCCACAGTGATGTCTAAGTCACACTGCAGTGTCCCTTTAAGCAGGCACCATTCGATTTAAATATTTTATGAAGATTAAAATCCCAGTGTAATATATCCAAGAACATTACTGGGGATGCCTGTAATTTGACCTTATGCTGTGTGCAGATTAAAAGGGAGAGGCAATGATTACAGGAGCAGGGGATGTACATTTTGGGACCTGACCACTACTGGCTTAAGAAAAACGCATTAGAATTTTTTACAGAAATATAAAATCAACCCAAGATACAGAATGAACTGGTAAAGAAACTCAAGTTACAATGAGAAATATTTCTTAAAAACCATCTGTCCTTATAAATAGGACCAACAGATTACTCCTATGAGGTAAGTGAATGTAACAGTAAGAGAAAGCCTGTAGCACCATGTACCTTGCCGGGCTGGTATACAAGCTGTTCTGTGTTTGGCTCACTGTAGCGTTCGTGGTTGGAGAGGACTCGTATTCCTGTAACACCGGCTCCGATCCAAACTGCAAAGCCCCGAACTGCAGATTGAGCCCGGAGATGTCAGCTGTACCGGGCATCTCCACTGCCAGAGCCGGAATCTGTGGACACAGGAACGTAAAGCATGTGTCTGATCAGTGAATTAGGAAGTAATGAAGTCATAGAATCAGTCTGACAGGTCAGTGATAGAAGCCTAGTATGCTATCCAGGGCTTGACAAATCCCAAGAGCTAACGCAAGATGTTGTGTGTGATTCACTCCCCTTCCTCCCATAAAACATCAATGCTTGAAAACCAGCCATTCAGATACCCAGGAGTGTCACATAGGGGGAGAGAGTTCTCAGCCAAATGTAAGCTCCATGTCATGCCCAGGGGCTTACACAGGGCTCCTCTGTGCTCCTGGTGGTTCTCTAACCTTAGATGTAAGCGAAGCCTTCTTCTTCTGAACCTTCATTTTCTGGTGAGCAGGCTGAGGACTTCCTGACTGGTTCTCTGAAGACACCGGGGACATCTGTGGGGGGTGGCTGCTCTTGCTGGTGAGAGGCGAGGAAGGGCACACTGGCATGGCGGATGGTGCGCTCGTAACTGGTGCTTTCTCCTGAAGGTACACCTCCATCATCGCGGAAGCTGGTGGGAACGTCTGGCGCTTGTTGAATGGATCTGATGGGCTCTTGAGATCTGTACAAAACAGGAGAAGATTCTCGCAATTCTTTTTAAGCTAAAAGGGCTCCTATGTGTTTTTTAGGTGCATAAAATAAGTTGATTGGAAAGTCAAGTTGCAGTGCTTGGATATTTCTGTAGCAGTTCAACCGATTCTCGTGTTCTCCTCTTTGCTTACACCTAGCCATCAGATTATAGATATCTATATAGACACACACTCACACTATCTCCTTCCGCCCCTTAACACTTCCTGTAAAACATATTTGTATACTCTGATGTCCGTTTGTCCTCAATGCTCTGCACCATGTGCCAATGCAGGATCCAGTGCACAAAGCTACATTGCAGGTAGGCCCCACATTTCTCAGTCTTCTGGGGTCAGGGTAGAGGTGCCGTGGGGCACCAATCCAGAAACTAAAGGTGGCCACACGCAGCCATTAGAAGACACCTGATTGAAAAATTGCAGGAAAAAAAGGAGATACCTAAACTACACACATCTCCCACAGTTAAGAGGAGACATCCATTACCTTAGGACACTAGCAAAAACACTGAGAATTTCCTGGAGGGGGATAATTTATGAGGGTCCTCCTAGCTTTGACAAGTGTCCAATCACCCAATGATACCTGCAAATTACCCAGTCACTGAATCTGCTTGTGTCCTATACAATGAAGAAAACCACATCCCTAGCCAAAAACAAAGAAAATGGAGTAGAAGTTGGTTAAGACCACTGTCATTTTTGTTCGCAATAGAGCTCTCCGATGAGAACGGAACATGAGCTTTGTTTATTGTGGAGCTCTAGCTTTCAGTAAGGGTGTGCTGGACTTCTGCAGACAGACCACTGCTTCCACACAGAGCTCAAGGGTACTTCTCTACAACATGCTAGCAGGGGGCAGGTTTTTCTACTTAGGCTGTGGCTAATTTTTAAAGAAAACCAGCTGCCAGACTTTACACACGGTCTGTTTTTATGCACCTGAATTAATTTATCCAATTTTAACTGAAAGCTCAGATGGGCCTTTAGGAGACCAGTTATGTCAATATTCCGATTGAATCTATTTTAGCTACACTCTTAAGGTATTTTATATGCATGTTATTTACCAGAGAAAGCCTCCATATGGACATATAAAAGGCATGAGATTTTTGCTGGGTGTTGCATGTGATGTCAGCAGCCCTAGCAGACTCAGAGCTGTCATTTAAGTGACACTATAGTATTTGCATTTTTTAGCAAGTTCAAAGGAACATTGCAAAATAATAAACATCATTTAAGAAAAGTTTAAAACAATGCAAGTAAGCATTAAAAATACACAAGTTTCCTGTGCTATTTTTTAGGTTTGTGACCGGGCCTCTTAATCACACTAATAATCATTAAGAGGTCCAGCTATATCATCGCCCTCTCGAAGGTCAAACCAGGGAGACATTCTGTCACCATTCTCTTTACTAAGCAAGCTTCTGCAGCATGTTGACCAGTGAGGAAGTGACACCCATTGTAAAAAGGGTCGTCTGCACAGTGGTGATTATACCACTGGCTAGGAATGTACAGCAGCATGTTGATAGATAGTGTCTTCTCTACCTCTCTCTAGTGAAGCTGTTATTTTTCATGCATATTCACAAGAGATGTCCCGATACCAGGCATTTTCACCAGTACTTGTACTGGTGAAAATGCCGATTCTTAAGGCCGATACCAGCCCTTTAAACTTTTAAACTGCAACGGCTGTTGCGTTCCGGCGCTTGTGGGGACCTCGGCAGCCTGCTGGGGAACTGGCAGTAGTTGTCCCTGGCAGTGCCTGTCTGGTTCTATATCTCCTGCTCCTACTTCCTGGCACAGGCACAGTCCCACACAGTACAGTACAGCCCGGACACCGGCACCTGTCTAATCAACTCTCCACAGCATAGCCACAGAGCCATGCAGAGATCCACATGCCACCCAGGTGAGATCGCAGCCTTCTGCTCTGCGGACATGTATTGTGCTCTGCAGACATGTGTATTTAGCTCTGCGGAGAAACAGCCCTAAAATAATCAGTCTGTCTTTTAGAAAAAATGTCAGACTCTGGGCTCTGACTGCAGAGCCGAACGATTCACAGCGAGGACGAGAAGGGAGAGGTCAGAACTATGCCATGTTCAAACAGGACTAAGGATACCGGCGCTTGAGTGTGTGCGCCCAGCAAAAGAGCCGCAGAAGAATCTGCAGTGTCAATTGCAGGCGCTGGGTTACTGTGGCACAAACTGTCCCCCCTTTGTGGCTACAGACGAAGCCGGAAAGGGTCTACTGTTGTGCTACATAGAAATGTTATCATACATATATACAAAAAGGCAAATCCCTCCTTAGATCAAGACATTGCAAAGATTGCAGACAAACTTATGGATCCTTCCGTTTTATGTCAGAGGAGAACGAGATGGGTCACTGCAATGTGCATGCTGAAAGTGCCAAGTGGGAGGGTATGCCTTTACTTCTTGATTAAAGCAAATCTGTGTTGCAATTATATTGCATCCCTCTGGGTGTGCAGCACACTGTTCAAATTTGCTTGCAAGAGATGAAAAACTCCCAGCAAACTAATGACCGAATTCAGATAAACTGAAACCAAGTGGCCCCGGACACCGGCAACTGTACGATCAACTCTCCGCAGCGTAGCCACAGAGGCATGCAGAGATCCACATGCCACCCAGGTGAGATCGCAGCCTTCTGCTCCGAGGACATGTATTGTGCTCCGAGGACATGTGTATTTAGCTCTGGTGAGAAACTGCCCTAAAAACATCAGTCTGTCTTTTAGAAAAAAATGTCAGACTCCGGGTTCTGACTGCAGAGCTGGACGAGGATGAGAAGGGAGAGGTCAGAACCATGCCAACCATGTCTGTGTTTGATAAAAAAAAGTCACATGTCCCTTTAAGAAAAAGAATCGGTAATTGGTACTTGGTCTTGAAAAAGTGGCATCAGGACATCCCTAGTGTTCACATGTCTTTTTTAACCTTTACCATGCTGAACCCTTGCAAGAGTTTTTCAAGTCTGTCACAAACACTAGATGGTGGACCTCAGTCTATCTTAAAAAGGACTGCTACATGTGACAGATAACATCCTATAGCAAGATGAATTTGGCAAATCAGTTCTTACCAAACTGCCCGAGGGATGGCGGCTGTGCTGCAGATGTCAGGTCCCAGGCGTTGTTACTGGATGCATCAGACTGCGAGTGTTGGGCTGCCAGCTGTGCCAGGGCCTGCGCTGTCTTAAACTGCTCCAGGAACTGTGATCCGGTGGTGCTGCTGCCCTTGTGATCTCCGTCTCCAAAACCCTTACTCAACATGCCGACCTGTAAGACGTGTACACATTAAGGATGGGTTTAAACTACCAGCAAGACAAAGGAACAATCTATTGTCTCAGAACATAACAGTTGCATGGTCCAAGGAGGACATCTGTGGTTTAAACAAACCAGACATACTGTAGTTACCACATATAGATCTATCCAGCCAACGGAACAGCAGGCAGACTTTGTGGTAACTGTTAATATTGCATGCTCTGTCCCCCCTCAGTGCTACAAATACAGCTACGAGGGGTCAACTGGCATGCCACACTGAACACCACAGCTTGAACCTTATTGTCGGTCATGGCACAGGAATTTTAAAAGCCCAAATGTTTAACGTCTGGGCCCCAGGATCAACCCAGAGCTGCTATGACGCCCTTCCCAAGAGAACCTGCGCAATTCTCCTGTGGGATTACTAGAGAGAGCTTAACTATGCATTGGTGATAAACGCTGCGGTGAACCTTGCACTTACCATGCTGTGGTGGGAGAAGGAGCTGCTGGGGCTGTTCTGAGTGAGGCTGCTCTGTTTGGAGTTGCTGAAGACAAGAGGTTGAGCCAGGTTGGAGTTCTGTGCAGGGTCCAGCGCAGGTCCCTCGTTCTCCACAGAAGGGCTTTTGCCCAACAAAACGGCCAAGTCAATCCTGCAGTGTTAGGAAAGAGCAGTCTGAAAATCGGTTCATAAGGTGAAATCCCAGTACAAGTAGAAAGAAACATGCCGCGAACTTACCTCTGGCCTGCAGTGATTGTCACACTCTCCGAGGACAGCGGGACAGATGACACACTGGATGCTGTGAAGATCTTGGTCTCCGAAAGCTGCAAATATCACAGACAGTTAATCAAGCTGAAAGAACGGGTGTATTTTCATCCAACCTTTGCCCAGTGGGGGCAACCACAACTCCCCCCCCTCCAAGGGCAGCTGTGCCACATCGTGCCTGGACTGAGGATGTTGGACTACGAAAGAGGGGTGTGCCAAATTGCAATTAAAGCCCAACTCTAAAAACGAATTGTTGGCCCGAGTTGTGATTTTATGGTCAGGTGTCACAAACAAGCAAACCTCCTCCCCACCTCACACTCGCCGCTGCCAGACCGCATCCACGCTCTCTACGCCACACCTCCTCCCCGCCTCAAATTCACCGCCCGCCCACATCCACGATCGGCACAGGGACGCGGGGAGATGTAGTAAGGAGGAGCAGGTGTGGGGGGAGGAGCAGGTGTGGGGGGATGACAGTTGCTAGATGACTGCTCAGGTAAGCCTGCACTTTCCCACACATGGTGCTCTATAATGTATTGCTGGGATTTGTATTCCTCTATAGCTGATGGTACATTGTGCTGTATATTATACATGGGAATACAAATCCCAGCAATACATTATACACTGTGTGTATAATGTATTGCTGGGATTTGTTGTATTCCTCTATAGCTGGTGGTATTCTGCACTGCACTGTATAGAGGACTACAAATCAAGGAATAATACATTATACAGCGCAATGCAGAATACCACCAGCTATAGAGGACTACAAATCCCAGCAATAATACATTATACAGCGCAATGCAGAGTACCACCAGCTATAGAGGACTATAGCGGGAGGACTATACCGCCAGCTATAATGTACTATTGCTGGGATTTGTTGTATTCCTCTATAGCTGTTGATATTCTGCATTGCGCTGTATAATGTACTATTGCTGGGATTTGTAGTCCTCTATAGTCGGTGCCATTCTGCATTGATTGCTGTATAATTTTACACTTTCCTTTTCACTATATTGCACACCACACTATTTTTTTTTTTTTTTTTACTTCCACCGCTCCAAGCTTGCTCCTGTGATGGACTGCAATCTCAATACAAACTAGTAGTCCCATCACTGGAGCCATTTTTTAAAATGTATTTTATTGTTTATCCGATTAACCGATTAATCGAACTTAATAATCGGCTAACTAATCGATTTTGAAAATAATCGTTAGCTGCAGCTCTATGTGTCAGATTGACTTTTTTGGAATAAAAGGTCCAAGATGGCCAACTGCAGCTTAGGAAAGACGACATCTACTGTAGTTACCGCTTACCGATCAGAAAGCCAATTAGAAGTGGCACACGATCTTTGCACCAACGGTTAATATTGCATGCGCTGTCCCCCTTAAAGGTCACATATACAGCCGGAAAGGGTCAACTGGCATGCCACAGCGGACTATTTCCTACCAGACTTTACAAAATTAAGCTGCTGCAGGTACAAGAGGTGCCCCTACCTCGAGCAGTGCCCCAAAGCCATCCATTATCGCTGAATGCCGGGGCGCACTTATTCAAAGTAGAAGCTGCTCTGCCCGTCCTGCCTACATCTTATTTTCTAGTGAAGCAGCCCATCAGTGAAGAACCAATAGCTGTGTTAGGGAGTGGGACTTGGAAGTAAGCTCTGGCACTACCTAAAGTGTTGGAGTTTGGCCTGTCAGAATGGCCTGGCACATAGCTGTATTCCCCAGGCAGTTTGAAGCCATTTTATCTGCAGCGAAGTGTCTTTCACCTCCGTTTGACTTAGAGGTGATCATACTCTTCATGTGAATGAAAACCCAAAAATGGAGCTGCAAAATAAAACTCTCATCTAAAAAAGGTCTGGCAGCGGCGAGCGCGAGGTGGGGAGGAGGTGCGGCGCGCAGTGTGTGGAGCCGTGAACAGGGCCAACTGATCAGAAGCCGATTAATCGATTATTGAAAAAGTTGACAACTTTTTCAATAATCGATTATAATCGATTATGTCAATTAGTTGTTGCAGCCCTAGTTGGGGGTCACCACAACTTGGGCATTGTTATCAAAGGGTTGCGGCACTAGAAAGGTTGAGAACCGCTGCCTTAGAGTGAAGCAAAGATACCAAAGGGGGCCAATCAGAGGTTCCCGAGGTTTGCCCTTTATGCACCCAGTAACCGTCTTCTCACCGGTGTCCACAGGCTGTCTGGTGATCCATTTTGTCAGAATGATATTGTCGTTATCTTCCAAAACACCCAGGAGAAGAGATTCTGGGCACAAGCTGACTGTACAGGCATATCCAGAAACCCCTAACCTCATATGTGCCACCTTTGGGTTCTAAAGGGCACCACCCAGAGATTGGCCATAAAAGTGGACCTGTCCAGACAGAAATTGGGCAGCATCACCTCTTGTCCTTCATATCCTCACTCAAGTGTGTGGTGAGACACTAACTAGAACATATAATGTGCATCAGGAGTCTAGACTATTTACTAGCTATGTGATCATTCCAGATCAAGGAAGGTGAAGATGTGAGCCCCAAAAGCATATGAGCAAAGCTAGCTCCCACATTTCTATGCTGATAGGTTCCCTTTAAAGGCCCCATTCACACTGCGCGATTCGCATTTTGCGCGATTTGCCACGCAAATGCTTGCATTGAGGAAGCTAGAATCGCGGCAAAATCCGCTCCAAAAAGGGTCCTGCTGTAGCGACGCATGACCTGCGACAGCAGGACCCTTTGCCCCATTGCCAAGCATTGGAGCGATATCGCGGGAATTACTGCGCGATAAATCGCTCAGTGTGAACGGAGCCTAAAGGGTCTAGCCACCCAAATTTGTTATTGCAGCTATACATGGAAAGCAATGGTCCAACTCCCCCAACTGGTTTCTTACAACTCCTGGGGGTCCCAGAAGTGAAAGGTCTCCCAACACTGCTCTGCCCACCCAGGGTTATTTCAACTCCTCACGTTACATTTTCCAGAACATAAAATGAAATTCCATCTGGAATAGTGGGAACCCCTCATAATGGCCACAGCAGGTGTGCAGATCCAGGAACTCAGCATAGAGATGTCTGCAAAATAATCTTTTAATTTTCTGGGACTCAATTGGTGAGATCTCCGAGTTGAGCTCCTGGGTTTGCACACTTGCTGTGCCCTTTATGAGGGTTCTCAACCATTCTGCGCGGAGTTCCCCGGTCTGTACACCTGCTGTGCCCATTTTAGGGGTTCCCACTAGGGCTGCAACAACTAATCGACATAATCGATTATAATCGATTATTGAAAAAGTTGTCAACTATTTCAATCATCGATTAATCGGCTTCCGATTGGTTGCCCCTGTTCACGGCTCCACACCTCCTCCCCACCCGCATCCATGCTCCACACGCCACACCTCCTCCCTGCCTCACGCTCACTGCCCGCCCAAATCCACGGTCGGCACAGGGACGCAAGGAGAAGAAGTAAGGAGGAGCAGGTGTGGGCGGATGACAGCCTCCAATAGACAGGCCCCATCTCAGAAACAGGTTGCTGGAAGACTGCTCAGGTAAGCCTGCACTTTCCCCACATGGTGCTCTATAATCTATGGCTGGGATAGTGGGATTTGTATTCCTCTATAGTTGATGGTACATTGTGCTGTATATTATACAGACCAATGTACCATCAGCTATAGAGGACTACAAATCCCAGCAATACATTATACACTGTATGTATAATGTATTGCTGGGATTTGTTGTATTCCTATATAGCTGGTGGTATTCTGCATTGCGCTGTATAGAGGACTACAAAACCCAACAATAGTACATTATAGAGCGCAATGCGGAATTCCACCAGCTTTAGAGGACTACAACACCCAGCAATAGTACATTATACAGCGCAATGCAGAAAACCACTAGTAGTCCCATCACCGGAGCCATTTTTAAAAATGTATTTTATTTTCTATCCGATTAATCAAACTTAATAATCGGCTAACTAATCGATTTTGAAAATAATCGTTAGCTGCAGCTCTAGTTCCCACCATCCCTGCACTGAGTTACCAGGTTTTTACACCTGCAGTGCCCATTATGAGGGGTTCTCCCCATCCTTATATTGACTTCTCTGATGTGTACACTTGCAGCATCCATTATGAGGGGCTCCCACCAACATTATAAGGACTTTCTGGGTCTGTACACCTGAGGGGTTCCCACCATCCCTGAGCTGAGTTCATGGGTCTGTACACCTGCTGTGCCCATTATGAGGGGCTCCAACCATACCTGAGCTAAGTTCCCAGGTCTGTACACCTGCTGTGCCCATTATGAGGGGCTCCAACCATACCTGTGCAGAGTTCCTGGGACTGTACATCTGCTGTGCCCAATATGTGATGTTCACATGATGCCTCCGCGGAGTTCCCAGGTCTGTAGATCTGCTGTGCCCATTATGAGGGTTCCCACCATCCCTGCACTAAGCAGAGCTAAAACTGGTGGATATATATAGCGAGTCCTCAAGTCTTCAAGCCAGCAGGTAAACCATTTTAACAGACTCCATCTATAACCAATATCACTTTTGGGTGGCTGACCCTTCACGATTAAACGGAAAAGGGGCTAAATTTAGAGATAAATTATAGCTCAGAAAATGACAACCCGTAACTATACCCAATCCACTAAGAAAAACGGTGTACACACTGAACATTCTAAAAAAGTAGAGCGCTTTGTAACATTCACAAACACGTCATTCTGTAATCGGAATGCAGCAAATTTACTGCAACAATGTAATATGCTAACCCCCCCCC